AAATAATATCACTCATGTTAGTTTCTTAGTACTGTTATAGCAGAAACAACACAAGTGTGGCTTTAACCAACAGAAATGTCTTTTCTCGTCATTTGAAAGCTAGCAGTGTGAATTCAGCGCACAGGTTCTAGGGGAAGATTCTCTCTCAGTTGGTTTTGGGAGCAGGTCTTCATGAGTTTCCAGCTTCTGGTAGCCTCTCTCTTCCTACATATGTGCTTCCTTACTTCTGTTTCTAATTTGTTGTTTTTATATATTCAGGACTTAAAACACATCCTACACTATAGTATGATCTCATTAAAACAAAGAAAACTATTCCCAAATGGTATAACATGATTAGACAAACAAACACCGTGCCATGGAATTTATTCTGACTGGTAGTCACCTTATAGGATACAGTAGAACTGCCCCATGGGTTTTTCAAGGCTGGAGTCATGGTGTGGCGCTGTAGGTTAATGCACTGGACTGCCAAGTCAATTTGAACTACAAGATCGGTGGTTCAAGCTCACCAAGTGCTCCTCGGAAACATCATACTAGGTTACTATGGGTGTAAGCCTACTCAGCGGCATATACTAACAGCAATCTTTACAGAAGCAGACAACCACTTCTTTCTCCCATGGAGCACCTGGTGAGCTCAAGCACTGCGTTTTCACTTAGCAGCTGAGTGCTTACCCCTTGTATCATCAGAGCACCTTTCCCCGTAAGTATGGTGTTGTGAAGTGCTGTTGAGTCTATTCCAACCCATAGTGACCCTGTACAGGCTTTCCAAGGAGCAGCTGGTGAGCTTGAACCGCCAACCTTGCAGTTCAAACGACTTTGCAGTCTTGGCGCATTAACCCACAGCGCCACACCAGGATGTGCAACAAATGTTTGGAGGTCACAATTTGATCGGCATCACCACCTTATATTATTTTAATGCTTTATTCTGCTTAACGCAATTATGGTCAGATCCTGCTAACTCAATCCAGGTATTCTATTCCCTGTAATTTCTGTGCAATAAGTCTTACCTTATTAAAGATATTATATGTTTCACACAACAATATGGTCATTAAAAAAAAAACAATATTCAGTATTCAGTAGTATTATCTCCATGGATCCTTGGTATTTATCAACAAATTTTATGTGTTTTGTGGTCTAAACAATGTACTAAGTAAGCTGTAAACTTCGTAATGGATTAAAATTTTAAGACATAAAAAAAGATGTACAAATTTTTAAAATATCTACTCAAATGGGTATGAGAAGACATCCATGATAATTGTAAAAGCTGGGTGATGAGAAATTTGTTGTTTTTGTTAAGTGCTGTTAAGTCTGTTTCAACTCATAGTAACTGTATAGGGTTGCTGAGGAACAACTGGTGGATTTCAATGGCCAGCTTTGTCATTAGCAGTCTAGGGAACATAGGATTTTATTATATTGTTCTATTTTTATGTAGTTAAAGTTTTTCCATAATCAACAAAACAAAACTGCAGTACCATCTCATTTGCCCCTTACTGACATCTTTATTGGTGCCTTTTCTTTTCTTCCCCAATAGGCTGATGGCATTAAAGTAGTAGTGTTTCTCTAGACAGTGTTAAGCCAAGAGAGATATTAATGTGCATTGGAGGATTTAATTCTCCATGTGAATTACACTCACCCTAGGAGTCCTGGTGTGGCACTGTAAGATAAGCACTGGACTGCTAAACTGCAAGGTTGGCCATTCAAAGCCACCAACCAATCCTCAGAAACAGGGTCAGTACGAGTTGGAACTGACTCAACAGCACTTAACAGCAGTAACAGCATCAACAAGATATTCTAAGACCAGCAGTTCAAATCTACCAGTCACTGGGCAGGAGAAAGATGAGGTTATCTGCTCCTGTAAAGATTTACAGTCTTAGAAATGCTGTGAAGGGTCACTATGAGTCAGAATTGATGGCAGCAGATTTAAGTAAAGGAGCTCTGGTAGCGTAGTGGTTACGAATTGGGCTGTGAACCACAAGGTCAGCAGTTTGAAACTACCAGCTGTTCCACAGGAGAAAGATGAGGCTTTCTGCTCCCGTAAAGATTTACAGCCTCAGAAACCCTGTACAGGGTTGCTATGAGTCAGAACCGACTCCATGGTATATAACCACCACCACCAGATTTAAGTATTCCATGGAGGAGCCTTGGTGTCACAGTGGGTTAAGCATGGGACTGCTAACTGGAGTGTCAGCAGTTTGAATCTACCAATGATAAAAGATGTGGCAGTCTGTTTCTAAAATGATTTACTTCCTTTAGCCTATAGAGTTGCTAGGAGTCAGAATTGACTCGACAGAGTGGTGAAGGGATTCCCTACGGTCCCTGAGTGGCACAAGCAGTCTGCACTTGAGACTAGTGTAAAGGTTGGCAGGTCAAGCCCACTCCAGGACGCCATGGAAGAAAGCCGTAGCAGTCTGCTTCCTTAAAGATGGTAACCAGGAAAACCAATGGAACAGCTCTCCTCTATAAAACATGGTGGCAGTATGAGTCTGAGTTGACTTGACAGCAGCGGGTTTGGTTTTAAGGTGTTGTTTCTGTTGCTAAGTGCCACTGAATCAGTTCTGACTCACAGTGATACTATATAGGGTTTCTGAGGAGCAGCTGGTGGGTTTGAACCACTGATCTTATGGTTACCAGTTCAGCGCTAATCATACAGCATCACACTGGGACTCCTTTAAGGTATTCTTTATAATTAATTTTGTCCAAAAATTTTTGAAAATTTAATTGCCAAAAGCATAAGAAGTACCATGCCCATGCTGGTTGGAAAATCAGTCCCCTGCTTTCTACAAATGTAGTACATGGTTTTCAGGGTGGTCTGGTGCCTCCCCATTGAGGCAGTCTGCTGAGTCTTGCCACCTGCCTCCCTTCTTTTAGATGTGGCTCATTTAGAGAGCCAATCATAGAATTTTCCAGTGTCTTGACAGCAGTCAGTCCAGAATCAAAGGAAGAACTCCGAGACTCCTGGGCACCCTTCCAGTCTGAAACTGAACTCACCCTCTGGACTCAATTTTCAGCCACACAGTAGATAGGTCTATAGAGAAGGGAACACTAGTGAGGTACACACACCACAGAGTGGCCAACTATTTGAGATCAAAGGGCAGCATTTACCTAAGGACAAAATTCAGAAGGGTGGAGAAAGGAGGAGGAAGGGAAACAAGAAACCCATAGAAGAAATGTGTTTCAGGGAGGGGCTTGTAATTGAGATGAAGCCAAGTGTTTGATTCCTTGAATGTAAAGCTGATGATCTGCTCTGTCAACCTTAACTCCATTCACAGTAAAAAAAAAAAGTAATAAATAGATAAAAAGAATTCACAAAGGATTAGTATAAAGAATTACTTGGGGACAGAAAGGTGAGAAGTAAGATGCAAGGATTGTCAACACATAGACCTGTGTGGTGTTTGCATTGTCACTGCCCTCTAGTCAAAGGTCAGGTACTCACTGGAACTGAGGAATTACAACAAGGGACCATATCCTAAGGGAGTCTAGTAACAGAGTGTTAGAAAAGGCATATTATAGGAGTTAGACTTTTGTTCCCTATTTGAGGAGGGATTCCTGGAAGTGGGGCTTTCTCAGAAAACAGGCTAATTTTATGCATACTATGGTAATGGACTGCAAAGTCGTTAGTTCAAGTTCACCAGCTGCTCCTCAAAAACCCTATACAGGGTCACTATGGTTCGGAACCAACTCAACAGCACTTCACAATAACAACATGGTAATGGAACCTATTGGATGGCATTCAACAGCATCTTAAGGACTTTATCTAAAAGATGGGAAGGTACGAAGCTGGAACAAGGAACGAAGCTGGCTTAAGTTGTAGTTGGTTAAGAAGCAGCAGTTAATCATGTTTCAGAATAAAGGGATGTTTGGTCATGCACAGTTAGATTTGTAATTTGCATCTCTGATCTAATACTACAATATCTTCTTAAATCCCCTCCCCTTTCTCTTAGAAAAGGAAGCCTAGTATTCATACTGTTTGGACTTTGCCTTTTTCCTCAACAGTGTATTCTGGCTGGCAATCTTTACAGACTTAGAGAAAGCATCTTCGTTCTGCTTTGTTGTTTTTGTTAAGTATACTTTATGCATGATGAAATTAACTTTTTTAGTGTAAACTTCTTTGAGTTTTGACAGACCTGATCATGTTACCTCTGCCGTAGTCAAGATAGAGAACAAATTCATCAACCACACAATCCCCTCTGCACTTCTGTGTTCAATTCCTCCCCACAGCTCTAGCAGCTTCTAGTATACTTTCTGTTCCCTTTGCTGTTACTGTTATTGTTCCAGTACCATCGGTTCCGACTCACAGCGACTGTGTATAGGGTTTATGAGGAGCGACTGGTGGTTTTGAACCTCCTATCTTGTTTTTAACATTCCAATGCTTATCCTACAGCACCGCGCTAGGACTCCATGCTGTTGTTTACTCCAGAATGTCACATAAACAGAATCACACGTACATTCCCAGTAGGTCTGAGCAGAGCCCACAGGTTTGCATTCTTCTCACCTTCCTTGCAGAAGACCCTGTTTGAGTTCCCGCCATGCACTTCAGGCTGAAGGATGGCCACCACCTGTCTGTCAGTGTGTTGCTGTGATGTTCAGCAGGTTCCAGCAGAGCTTCCAGACTTAAGACAGACTAGGAAGAAAGACCTGGTCATTCACTTCTGAAAATCAAATAGTAAAAGCTCTTGAGATCACAATAATTGGGTTCCCAAGTGATCCTGGGGATGGTGCAGCTATTTGTCAGCAATTTGTTCCTTTGCCAGGGACCAACTGGGGGACAGCTAACAGCAATCAGAATAAACTCTCAGTGGGTGCTGTGGGCTACTGACTGCTAACCTGAGCACTCTCTCTGGGAATCTCTGTGCATTTTAGGGGTATTCCAGAACAGTTGGTTTGGAAGACAAATACCTTGAGGATATATTACCAGAACTTTTTCAGGACATTACTACATTTAAAAACACTGGTAGTAATACAAGTATTTTCTGACTGTTTCCATTTGTGTTTGTAATTTTTTTTAAAGTCCACTTCAAAAATTAATACGATAAAGAGATCCTGATGCGTCCTCTCCAGATTATTCCCAAGCAATTCATTTCCCAGCTGTATTGTGGACTGAAGTCTCCAGTCTCTTCACGAACCAGCATTTGCCCAACCATGGCTCGTCCGAGTTCAAGTAAGTCAAGTCGAAGTTCAAGTAAGTCTACCTTTTCAATAGAATTTAAAGTATCTGAAAGTTCTAACACTTGGAGGAGAGGGTCTACATTGAAGTCGGTTCTGATGTAAGTGAAATACTTCATTTCAAATTAATGACTAATGCTCCTCATGGAGCAAAACACCGAATAAGATCAAACTAGAGTTGGCATCAGTGTGGTAACAATGACATCTTGAGTTGTAACAGCTGTTGGGCGCATACTCAGTGTTGCAGTTCAGTTGTTATGTGATGTTAGAGTTGAACATTGGTCAGTTTCTATTGTATACAACTTCAACACTGACTTCATTGTAGACCAACCCATAGCCTGCTACCTGCTAGTATCTTGAACAGGAAATCATAAAATTGGACATCTGGGAATGATGATATCATAAAATTACACACTGCAACAATGATTGTTGTTAAGTGTTATCGAGTCAGTTCTGATTCCTGTATAGGGTTTCCAAGGAGTAGCTGGTGAGTTTGAACCACCTCCCTTATGGTAGAGTACTTCTCATACAACACCACACCAGGACTCCAATGATAAGATGTATCAAAAAACTCCAACAAACCCAAAACAGATGGTTTTAAGTGTGGGTCGTTGTAACTCACATGCAGTATGTGGAAGACTGTGTATATATCTGATATTACGGACAAGTTAAATCCATTTCAGACAGTTGTTACTCCTCCCAAAAATTTGCATTTAAGCATATCATGTAATTCTGACTCCTACCTCTCTGCTGGCAAAGGAAACTGGGGATTGTTCTACAGGGTAATGTTGTTACTGCTGTCAAGTCGGTTTCAACTCATAGCGACCACAGCGCCACACCAGGACTTCAGTTATCTACTTATTGTTGTTAAATGCTGTCAAGTCGATTCTGACCCATAGCGACCCTGTATAGAGTTTCTGAGGAGCAGCTGGTGAGCTTGAACCGCCGACCTTGCAGGTCAAACGGCTTTGCAGTCTGGCGCATTAGCCCACAGCACCATACCAGGCCTCCACATTAGTAATTTGTATCCCTACCAACGAAGGGGCTCTGGTAGCGTAGTGGTTACAAATCGGGCTGTGAACCTCAGGGACAGCAGTTTGAAACTACTACCTGTTCCGCGGGAGAAAGATGAGGCTTTCTGCTCCCGTAAAGATTTACAGTCTCCGAAACCCTGTACAGGGATGCTATGAGTCGGAACCGACTCCACGGCACATAACAACAACAACCAACGAAAATATGTAAATCACCATTTATGTGCCTTTAGCCATTAGTGAGGAGTCCTGGTTTGGTGCTGTGGGATAAAGCACTAGACCACAAGGTTGGTTTGAGCACAGGGTCGGTGGTTCAAGCTCACCAGCAGCTCCTTGGAAACCCTATACTGTCAGTGAGCCTGTTAAATACTGCTTCACTATGGCACTGAAAGCACATGAGGAACTCTTTTAGCTTATTTCCAACTTTTGGAGAACTTTCCTTAATATTATGTCTGCTCAGGCCTAGTAACGTAACTTCTCTCTTCCCATCCCTCACCTCCAGTCCATTTTACCCAACCTCAGGAGCTAAATCCCTTGGTGATGCAAATGGTTAACAGCTCAGCCTCTCACAGAAAGTTGGAGGTGGGAGTCCACCCACAAGGGTCCCTGAAGAAAGGCCTGGAAGTCTACTTCCCCAAAAAACCAACTACTAAAAACCCTATGAAACACACATGGAGCCACCATGAGTTGAAATTGGCTTGACAGAAACTGACTAGGGTTTTTTGTTTTGTTTTGCTTTTTTTGGAGGGGTTGGTGCAGATGGGAGTGGGGGTATTTATAGGTCATAAAGAACCTACTTCTACTCAAGTATCCAATTCCTGATATTCACAGATAGGAAAGACAGGTTATGGGACCAAGAAGTATATGGTTGACCTCTGCTAGACATAGGCCCTGCATGTGGGCAACCATAAAGTATGCTGGTAGTTTTTCCTATAGAAGTTGTTGTTGTTGTTGTTAAGTGCTGTGAAGTTGGTACCAACTCATAGTGCCCTTTAAAAAGATTTTGTACCACATCAACATCAAATGTATTTTACATGCTGTTTTCCAAGAACCAAGTCTTGATTGGCTTTTTTTTAAATTTATTTCTAGAAGTTGTTGAAAATGGTACCTTGATAAAAGTCACTCTACCTAGGAATATGTTTGTCCCTAGGATGTTAGAATTTACACTTGGGCTGACTCCCAGGGCTGGGAAAAGTTTTATGGGAAAACTTGAAAGCTATTTCAGGATGTTTATAAGCATTTGAGCCCAGGATTTATACAAATAGCTCTTGGGAAACTACTGGTACATTTTCTTACTAAACATCCTGCTCTTTTAGGAGATTGCTGTTGCTAAGTGCTGCTGAGTCGGTTCTAACTTATAGAGACCTTGTATAGGGTTTCAAAGGAGTGGCTGTTGAGTTTGAACCACCAACCTTGTGGTTCTAACTCACTTTGTGGTCTAGTGGTTTATCCAACAGCACCACACCAGGATCAGATCAGTATAAACTCTAATCTTTCCAGATCAGGATGGTGGTGGCGGCTGTGTGCCGTGCAGTCGGTCCCGACTCATAGCGACCCTGTACAGGGTTTCCAAGGCTGTAAATCTTTATGGTAGCAGAACGACTCATCTTTCTCCCACGGAACAGCTGGTAGTTTCAAACTGCTGACCTTGCAGTTTGCAGCCCAATTTGTAACCACTATGCTACCAGATATTCCCCCTGAATTCCTCCTTGTAGGATACCTTTAGTCTATAGATGGGCCTCATTTTTTATGCCAGTCTAGCTCTGATACAGAGGGGAGTTTAGGCAGAGTTTTAGCCTAATCAGTACCTCTGCCTTCTACCCAGATATCACCAGTTTCATTTCTCAGGGATGTTCACTCAGTCAAGGGCTCAACCTTGATTACTATTTCCTGAAGGCGGGAGGCCTAGTCAACTTGGGGGTTCACTTCCTATTTTAGTTACCTAGTGCTGCTATAGCAACACCAACAACAGAATGCCACAAGTGGGTGGTGTTAAACAACTGAAATGTATTGGCTGACACTTTTGGAAGCTAGAAGTCCAAATCATGCAATGGGCTCTAGAGGAGCCCTTTTCCTGTTAGTAGCCCCTGGCGTTTCTTGGCTTATAGATAGTTCTACAAATGGTCTTTCCCCACCTACCCCCGCAAGAATGCCTTAGTGTCTGTTCTGCTCTTTTTATAAGATAACCATTCAAAAGGGATCAAGTTTATATATCAAAAGGGATCAAGTCTATTTGCATATGGACTCATTTACATTACAAAAGAAAACCCATGTTTCCAAACCTGGTGTGGCACTGTTGGATAAGCACTGGACAGCTAACCGCACCAGCTAACCCATCTGTTCACACACACCAGCTACTCCTTGGAAACCATATACGGGGTCATTATGTGTTGCAACTGACTCCATGGCACTTAACAACAA